ATAAATGATAATGACAAATTTATTACTTACAAGAATAAAGTGGTTACCAAGAAAAGTCTCCAATTTCATAGTCATGTTAGCGTGCTCCAGACAGATCTAGCCAATAATTCAACTTTGAATTATTGTTCTCACTGTATGAATGAGCAAGTTTAGATAATAAACCGTCTCATTCCACAAATTAGAATATTATTGTAGAATAGTTGAGTAACAATATTCATTAATATTACGTGGATACACAGACTGATGTTTTCAAGCCTTTAGTTTTGTTTAAGTGATAATTTTCACGTACTGCGAATGAGAAGATTTGCTTTTAAAAATAAAATATGACATGACACTAATAAAATAACATCTAGAAATGTGTAGATTAAAAAGTATGTTTAATACCTAATAAAAGGTTGACATTTTCTAAAAGTACCTTTGTTCAGAAAACGAGGCTCATGGAAACAAATGTTCAAATGCACTATAACTGTATTTCGTTGTTGCTGTTCATTTTTTGTGGCTGTTATCTTGTCCAGGACCAGTGAAGATCGAACCAACTGCTTTACTCAAATGTTCTGTTGTCTTTCCCATTTTCCAGGGTTGATGGAGAGGAATGTATAACCCCAGACAAAAAGATATGATGTATAACTAAATAAGACTTTGAAAAATACTGTGATTAACCTGAAAGAAGGAAAACAAAGTTTTATTTGGTTAATAACATTTGACTTTAGTAAAACTGCAACCTTGAGCAAGTCATCAGGCACTGACTGCTCATGACTTCCTACAACTTTCAACCATATCCATCTGTATGAATGCACTTTTCTTTGAATACATTGAAAAAAGGAACATTTTTCAAAATTGTTGCTTGAGTTCATTAGGTAGCAATAGACACAACACTATTTATGAAATATAAGCGTTTTCCTTTTGTAAATTATGATGCTGAGTTGCAACAGTAAGGGTTAAATGAGAGAGAGAAAAAAAAGGAGTTTCCAGTCAGGGAGTTCTTTGTCCCAACCGGCTTTGAGTTTATGCAAAATGTTTCATTTTTTAATGCAACATTAAAAAATTTTCCATTATTATTTTCTTTTTACATATATACAATCATCACTAAAGTCAAAGTGGAGCAGAGGCTGATGAGGTGAAAAGTGAAATCCCTGTGTGAAGCGGAACGGGAATGCTGCTCCCATCCTGAAGAGAACTTGTTTGGTTCCGATCTGGTGAACGTTAAAGCGTGGCGAATCTCTCAGTCGGGTTCAAATCAATGTGACGCCAGAGAATGAATCATTCACAGTTTTCAGCCTTGCACAACATGAACGTGAACATGAAGGCTAAAGCTGCGGACCGGAATCTGCTGCATGAAATCTGTGGGCCGTGTCAGAATGGACGCTATGTGGACGGAGACGGCCACCGTCCCATGTGACGCTGCCTGTGGAATCATCAGATTTGTGTTTCACACTGCATGGGGTGGAACTGAAACACTCGCCGGGTCGCATTTCTGGACTCACATGATTTAACTCTGTGTTTTGACGTCTTTCTAGAACGTTGTGGTTATCGACACTGCCGAGTGAAAACAGGAGGTCTAAAGTCCTGACTTTATGTCAATCAATCAATCATAACTCCATTTTATAGCACAATCAAGTATCTATGTTACTTTCAGTTTAAAAAGAAATGCTATATGTATCAAATATGAATGAAAAGAAATTTGACTTTGTAATTTAACGCCTTGAAATTGGGCCTCTGTCTCTTTAAGAAGCTCCTGCTTCTTTCTGAAACTCCGCTTTCAGGAAGTCATCACAACACGGCTGCCCTGTAAAACCTGTGGCAATATTTCTACCAGCGTTGCTCTGAGACGTGGCTCCTACAATGAGCTTGGCTGACGTGCAGCTCAGCTGAGGTGTTAGCTAATTGCTGCTGACTAGTCTGAAGGGGCTGAGTGGAGAAGTTGGGAGGCCCAGAAGCTTAGGAACTGCGTCTTGAAGGCTCAGTGCCACCAAGCATTTGGCACAGCGTAACGGCCGCCATGGGAGATGAAACAATTTCTCAAACATTCATTTATTCACTGCAGGATCGTTTTTGATGAGGGAATAATATTATGACAAAAAGCTCAAAAAGCAACACTGCCTCTCTGATTCCAGTAGCGGGGGACTGTGTGCTGACAGGAAGAGCAATATTCTGGTGGCATTGATTTTCCTGAAGCCCTTCTGCCGACCGATACATATATCGGTGGCTCCGACTTAAAAGTGGTTTGAAATGCCATAAAGTTTATGAAGCTGGAACGTTCATTTGAGAAGCTGACGCGTCATCAGTTCTAGTTGTGATGTGTCAGGAAAAAGAAACGTTGTTCTCAAGTGTTTACACATCAAAATCTCAAACACATTCATGTTCAGCACCCCTTAATGTGATGCCCTTAAATAAAAATCATGTTCTCAAAGTCACGTGTTCACCACGTTATGCACACATTCATAAACATCAGAATTCCAAACGACACTTTCAATTTCAACGTGAAAACGAAATATTTAGCTTAAAAATGAAAAATTTTGTTCTCAAATTAAATATTTAGTGAGGAAGCTAAATATTTAGATTGAGCTAAATAATTCAAGTTCAAACTAAATGGTTAGATTTGTCTTCAGCCTCTCTCCAGCCAGCTTTACATTCAAAGTGTCTTTAACTGGAGCCGACACGAAACGCTGTGTCATTTTATATCCTCGTAACCGAGACGTTGGAAAAACCCAAGAGAGGACTGGCCTGCCCTGTCCGGACTGCAGATTCATAAATAACTGTAATAAAATCATAATAAACACGCTTGCCATTGCCAAAAAAGAAAAGAAAAAAAAAAACCCAACCAAACAAACAAAACAAAAAACGGACAGATGAGTCAGAAATGATCAAATTAGTTCAGCGGATCAGTGGCTGAAGGGATAATGGACATGTAGTTTTCTCCTAATCAAGTCGAAAGGTGGTTAACTTGAAAATGATTTCCACAGGGGAAAGCTTGATACTGGACCTGAATATATACCAGTACACACCAGTGGATTTGCATGGCTGAACTTGAAGCGCCGCCAGATGAAATGGAAATGTGGAAGCAGTCACGTTTCTCTCACTTTTCTGGAAGGTTGGACCCACAAACATAAGCAGCTTCATTTGCAGGTCCCACAATAACGCTGCCTTGCATTTCTCCTGTATTGATCTGAGTGCTGGTTCCTCCAGTGCCAACACACCGCCGGCGCAGCCCTGGGTGACTGATAAAGCATTAGACAAAGAAGGAAATGCAGGCGTCATTTTTCTGTTTTGTGATCTGTTGCAAGCAGATGAATGACCCCAATCGGTTTGGGAACGGCGCTGGCTGCTGGTAGCAGACGTTAGCCTGCGAGACACCAGATGAGAAAAAGTTGCCTCTCCCCACTAAAGGAAGAGCGTTTGGTCAGCGGCCACGCCCTCATCGTCCTGAATGCAGCTATTATTTATTCCTTCAGTTGATTCAGGAGAAAACATTTGAGTCCTGCTTTCGCCTGGACTCAAATGTCAGAGCAGTTCTGGTGTTTTCGCCCAACTTTTGGAGTCTCCATTTTGTGGAGCAGCATCAGCAGGAATATGGAGCCTGACGGAAATAAAATCTGTTTCACGTCAGTTTGAAGGGATGGAAAAAAGATTCATGGACACAAAAAATGAAGGATATTAATTTGATCATTTCTTTTGTTAACTTTATAAATGCACAATCTGGTCACAGTTCATTCTAATTAGATTTCCTCCATTAAATGCAGTTTTTATTTATTTAAAAAATTTGTTCTCAATTTCAATTTTCTTTATTTCATTACTTTTAGTTGACAATCACAACCCTGGTTCTAGGATTTAACGATCTGGATAGGTGAGAAAGTACTTTTGGCAATGGAGAACCTGTTGTGAATGCTAAGGCTAGTTAGCATGGACAAACAATTTTCCAGTAAACATAATATATGTCTGTGCCATTAAAACATTTAGCAGGTACATGAGGATGATTGACAGCACTAAGACCCGCCTCCTGGCTCTGACTGGTTGTTTTTGCGTTTCTCCACATGGATGGAGGAGTTTGATCTTTTCACTGAATATCTGTGTCATAACACAGTCACAACATTGTGGCAGTTTTAATAAATATGTAAAACAAACAAACAAAAAAAAACATATGCTAAATAAATAAATGTTCCATACTGTAGCTTTAAGAGAAAAGTGGAGCAAACAGATGTGAGAAACCAGTGAGTTCAGATTTGAACTAAGAGACTCACACACTTTTTTTTTTTGTCTGGGTTTCAGCCTCATTTGTCAAAAGTAAACAATGACCCAAGGTCAAATGTGTCACCTGTTACTGATCCTGACAGGTTTCAATAACTCAATTTGAGAAGCCAGAAAAAAAAGATCTACTAATCCTGATGCGCTTGTCGTGTGAAAAATTAGAAGTAAAACAAAAACATTTTGAAAACGAGGAATGACTCAGCGAATTCAAATCAGAACTTTCAGCCCATCAAAACCAACAATTATGACCCTTTTCTCTGCATATTTGCCTAATCTTCCCCACTTTTCAACACTTATCGGCGTCAGAAGCCGTAAATGATCACAGAGTCCACATTAAACCTGCGGTCACCGTTCAAAGCCTGGGCCCTCCACACGTTTGTGCGGGACTTTCTGTTGGACTCGTTGTGGGAAACGAAATAAAACCTTCCTGCCCTGAACTCCAAATGATCTGTCATGTAAATAAATCTCCTGATTACGCAAGATGGCTTACAAACAGACGTTCATCTCCACAGCTTCCAGTCCACAATGAGGGGCTTCAGAGCGAGTGTACACAGCAGCAGATTGAGTTAAAGTGTCCACGTGAGAGACGTGGATCGTCCCCAGACTCTGACATCGTGATCGTCCTTGTCGGATTAAGCAACTTAATCGGACTGAGTGGGAAAGAAGAGGCAGACCGAGTGGACGAGAAGAAAGAGAACTCTGTTGGGGGGAAGCGGGGGGTGGTGGCAGCGATGGGAGGCAGCTCCACCCATAATTAAGTTACCCCCACTGCACTGAGGGTCCATGTTTATGGCACAGAGGAGGGAGTTTCCTTCACTCTGTGGACGATCAGAGCAGAGGAGCGAGTTCTGGAGCTCTGGCTCTTCCTGCGGCTCATCGCCCCTTACTCCCCCGCGACTGACTGACCCGCAGCACCGGCAGCCTGAAGGAGAGGCGGAGGGAAGAAGACGAAGAAGAAGCAGTTTGTAGTGGCACCTGCCCAAGCCTCCATCCCCGCTTCCTCTGCTGCATCGGCTGCCACCATGTGTGACTGTTTCCACCTGGCGTTCCCCAACTGGCACGCTGCCTCTTCTGGGACGGGTAGGCTCTTAACCCCTCCTGTCTCTTTACTTTATTTTTATTTATTTTATTTTTTTCTTCCATCTGACATTGGCTCTCCTCGGAGGAGCGAAGTGGCCGAGCAGGGCAGCAGGGAAAGGGAATGCTTGCGATGGCGGCGGATGAGGCAGCTGGTGCTGATGCTGCGTGCTGCTGATGGGTGTGTCTGCAGAGTGCAGCGGGCTGCTGAGAGATGTCATCATCAGAGAGAGTGTGTGTGTCTGCGTTTCTCCTCTCTGCCTTCCAGCGGAGCGTCTGGAGTTCAGACTCAAACGCTCCGAAGCGCCGTTACAGTTGTTTAGATCAGAAACCTGGCGGACGGCAACAGATCCCTCCTGGGGTTAGAGACAAAAACGACAGCTGGAGACCGGAAATACAGAATTGATGCCAAAAATAGAAAACGGCGGTGCAGGGATCAAATGAAATATTAAAATCATCACCAGCTTCTGCTTTAATAAGGAAGAGTAGGAGTACTCAAGGTCAGCTTCCTAAAATAATAGCAAAAAAAAAAAAATTAACTTTTAATTAGATGACATATATATATATATATATATATATATATATATATATATATATATATATATATATATATATATATATATATATATATATATATATAATCACTTTTGGCAAAAAAAAAAAAGAAAAAAAAAGGTGACACTAAAGAGTCCATAATCCTTTAAAAAGTAACAACAGTAATCCAACCATATCCTACTTAAATTTGATTGACTCTGTATCTACTATATTGATGTGCAACATATGTTTTTTCATTGTTAAATTATCAGTTTCATATTATTATTATTATTATTGTTTTATTTTATTTTAGTTTAGTTTTGACAAAACTGGATTTAAAAAAAGGAAGAACAGTGAAAACTTCATTTATCTGCTGGCCTTTAAAAGCTCTGTAGTTAAACACAAATATTCCCAAACAGAGACAATCACAAAAGAAACTGTCTGCAGCGTCATCCAGCAGAAATCCGTCCTGCACGTTTGTGACGTTTTCTCAAACTGGACGTATTTGTCCAGAGTTATTCGAATGAGTGGCTTTAGAGCCAGGATGCATCTCGAACATGAAGGACACCGACCAATCAGGACCAATCATGGCCTTGGTGACTCCAACATTAGAGTTGGTCATTTTAAAGACGCACCAACATTTCCCAATGCAGCATGATGCAAGAGAAACATTAAAACGATAAAGCCGAGCTGTTGCAGAAAACAGCTGACAGCAACAACTTCCACACCGAAGAGTGGTGTTGTTCCTACGACCTGTGGGGCTTTTTTAATTTTTTTATAATCAGAAATATATTTATTTATTTCCTCAGCACCAAGCTTGACCCAGCTGGTCAAGCAAGCAAACAAACAAACAAACAAAAAGGCGTTTGATTCCAGTTGACAGTTGATTTCTGTTCAGGATTATTTCAGCTACTTTCTCTGAAAGTTTTCTAGGAGTTTTTGATGCCGTTTCCCTTTAATATGTAGATAAAAATGCAGCCAGTCAAAATGCTGTCAGGAATAATGTTTATATCATTGGCTGCAGTTTGCAAAGTTACACAGTTAAAAACCAACAGCAGCGTATTTTGGCCCACACTAAATATTTAGGTTTGAGCAAAAGTTTAGAACTATATATGTAGCTTGCAAGCTAAAATCTTAGCTTGGACCTGAATGTTTGGTTTGGAGCCAAATATTCAGCTCTAAGCTGCATATTTAGTTTACAAACCAAATTCTTAGTTCCAGCTCCAACTTAAATCTTTAGTCGTATACTAAATATTTAGTTTGGAGCTAAATTTCGCTCTTTTTCAAGAATTAGCAAAGACTTGGCTCCAAGCTGCATATTTACTTTTCAAGCTAAATTCTTATCTGTAATCAGCTCTAAGCTAAATATTTGACTCCAAATCACACCATTTAGTTTGGAAACTAAAATTTTAGCCAAAAACCAAACATTTAGCACCGAGCTCAATAGTTAGCAGCCAACTAAATAGTTAGGTCTGAGCTAATATTTAACTCCAAGATACATATTTAGATTTCTAAATAAATATTCAGTTGAGAACTCTAACATTTATAAGTGAATAACTAACCTGGTGTAAATGTGACTTAGAATAACGAACACTATTTTTGTTTTCCACTTGACACGTTAATTAATTCAAACTGTTTTTCTTAACTTTTGACTGTAACTTTTCAAACGCATGAAGAAACTGAAAAGATAAATGTCCAGCAAAATAAAGTCAAATCCAAGGTCAAGTGAAGGGCATGGTTCAGTCGATCCTGGAGAGTGGCGACAGTAATGTGTCTCTACATAAACATGCGTATAAAAAGCAAAACAGTCATTAAAACAAACCCCGCCTCTTCTCATACACAGAGGTGTTTTCTGAAGGATCCTTTTTATTGAAGGTGAAGCTTCAGGATGGAAAATCTCCAGAGGCGACTCTTATCAACCTGCTACGCTCATTTATAAGAATGCTGTTTTTGACCTCATTTGCACCCCGTCGTCATAGCTACAGATGAATCTCCTGTGGTTGATTTCCTCAGGAGGTTCTGCTCCCTCGTTTGGCTTCAGATGGTTTATTGCTGCTCATGAGCTGCAGAGTGCAGCTTTAACACTTTCCTGAATTATTTATCCAGGCTTTCTGACAGGAATTATGCTTCCATCAGGCGTTCTTCTTTCCTTCATAAAGTACGTTACCTCCAGCTGATATGGTTCTGGTCCGACTTCCCGTCACACCAGTTTGTGACTTTGTGCCTCTTTTAGCTGTTTTTGTTTCCATTCAACAAGCTTTGTGTGTTTTCCATGAGTCTTTCAGTGACTGAAATGAAACACGCCTTATCTGGTCAGCATAGATATAAATTCATCTAAGTTAAGTTAGAGTTATTATCCTTTAAGTCACTGAGACCATTTCCATAATTAAATTGACCTTTTTATTATTAATATTAAGATTTGAGAGTGGCTGTATTTTTATGTGAACTATGCCCTCTAGTGTTCGATATGAGAAAAGCATTTATGTTTAGAGACAAAACGTTTTTCTGCAGAAACGGAAAAACATGAAATAATGATAAATAAATAAATAATAGAAATGACTTTCAGTAACTTCCTTGTCCAGTCGTCTAAAGGTTCTGATTGGATCTCCTGTTCCTCCCTACTGCTGCCTTACCGTCGCTCAGGGAAACGCTGCCATTTCATTTCACTTGTCTTATTCTAAACTCTAGTTTAGTTTATGATAATTAATTTTTGCATGCCAGTTGAGGCCATATTTGGATTGTTCATGTGAACGAACTGGGTTCATTTTGAACTGAACTGAGTCTAAACTGAACTGGAATCTGTTTTACATGACACGCTTTGGACCGGTTTGTCTCTTTGGCCTTTGGTTCAGACAATAATCTAGTCAGTCTCTTTAATCGAACGCGATTTCATTTCTCACAATAATGGCATAATAAGGTGATTTGTTCACAGTTTTTTGCAGTTCAAGCACAGAAATGTGTCTTTTAATTAGAAACGTCCTGATCAGGAATTTCTTTTGTCTTTGACACAGATTCAAGGCATTTGAAATGATCCATCAGCTAATATGTGTACCAGTTTGATTAATTAAGTAATAATAAAAAAAAGAATTCTGTGTTTCAATGCAATGATTTAATAGTTTTAAAGAGCATCAGGATGACATGCTACACGTCATCAGTGCAGTAAACTCACCTATGATTGCAGATTTTGCAGAGTCTGTTTCCTATTTTCTGACGGTGATGGATATTGTATCTTAAAGGAAAACTGAAGAGGACATTCTTTATTTTCTAAAGACAAGGAGCAGATTAGATGACAGGGCGGACACAGAAGGCTGCACTTCGCTCCGAATTGTTATCTGCCATAAGTCTGAAAGTCCAAGGTCAAGTCAAAGTCCGTTCAATCTTATCTTCTGGCATCTGCTGGGGCCGCAGATCCAGACTGCTGTTCTTTTTCTTAACTCAGGAGTGTCCAAAGTGTGGCCCTGGGGGGTCATCTGCAGGCTACAAGTACAGATGCAGATAGACTCTTTTGTTATTCTATTTTATTCTATTCTATTATTGCTGCTGAGAAAACAGAACAAATAAATAAATACAAGTGAAAAAAGTCAGACTAGGACTAGATCCTGAGACTCTGAGTTATTAAACCGTTAAAACAAATGATCTGGATACATTTTTAACTTTCGGCAATAGAAACCCTGCTCTGCTTCTCTTAAAACTTAGTGACTTGTTTTTTTCTATTTGTGAATTATACTATCACAAAAAAGAGCGGTGATATGTAAGCCACCTGTCCACATGGAGGAGAAGGTGTGGTTTTAAGTGTTTTTACACAAAGCCTTTTTTATTCTCATAGCAGTTCACCTGTAGGATTTTCTGTTCTGGTTTTATTGTCACAGACTGCTGTCGTTCGTAGACACGGGTCGCCTGTCGTCTCTGGTCATCGCGTGTCACGGTGACCCTGACAAATTTGAACACAAATTCCGGAGCTGTGATGAAACTCACTGCAAGTTTGCAGCAGATTAATAGATTGAAAGCATGTGCTCTCATGTCCCTGCAATTTACGCAGAAAATCCTATTTACTTTCTCCCCTCTGCACTTAAATCTCATTAAAATTTGGATCCGAGCAAACCGCACACAAGCACCGATCCAAACGCACAAGCTGCTTTTGCTCACTCCTTGTCCGATCTACAAGGAGTGAGCAAATAATAAAACCACGTTGTGATACACGAGCTTCATGTCCAGGAAGGCTTCCTGCTACTTTCACATGAGAGACTCAAAAAAAGAAGAGATATTTTTTGTAAAGAGCGAAATTTTAATTTTTGACATTGAGTAAGACGCTAATATTTTGAAATTAGTATCCCAATTCCAGCCATCATGTTATATGATCACAGCGTTTTGGCTCACGCCGGCCTGGTGCCACATCCCCCGAGATGCCGGACGGTCTTCTGGACCATGTTGTGCTCCATGATGCTTGTGATGGACAATCCATCAAAGGTCTGAGCTGGGATTCAGAGCAGGAGGTCCTTAAAGTCATTAATGATTACCCAGCTGGTCACTGATGTCCCCAAGAGCACAACGGAGTCCCTGAGCAGTGTCCAGCAGTCAATTGTTTTTTTCCTCTGTTGGGCTCAGGTCCATGTTTATTGGGGAGAAACATTATTTTCATACGCATACATTTATATCGGTGTGCCTTTCAATGTACTGACGGCTTGTTCAGCGTGTGGGTCGACTCTCACCCAATGGCCGCTGGATCAGAAGAAGAAAGTACATCGCTTTTCATTTATAGTTTTTAGTTTTTATTTGAGAATGTCATAAATATAATCCAGTCTTCACTAACTCCTGAAATGATTTGAATCCAAAACCGATACGCCATTGTGTATCATTTCAATAAAGAGGACAAATGCACTTAGTTCATCAGTAACTGTGGACTCCTTCATGCAAGCAGGAGTTTTGCTGATTTGTTGGACTGAGACGATGCCAAAGACAGAGAGACATAAGCAATGATCTCAGAGAAACGGCTGCAAGTTGTATTGCTGCACGTTCAGAGAAACCTGAACACATTTTAATAATATAACTGGTCCAAAACAGGCAAATCCAAACGAAACCGATTAGGCCCCAAACTATACATCGATATTTATGCGGTTATGCATACGATTTTCAGCGACGTTTGAAAACTTGGGTTTCTGGGCCAGAATAAAATGGGAAACTGTCACAGGTGACAAACGACACCAGGATGTGACACAACTTGGCACAAGGTATGACTGGGATGTAAACGCCTCCCAGCCGCTCTGGGAGTCACACACAGTGAAGGTCTGCTTGGGGACAGACAGGGACGGCTTCTTGTTAACACTCGGCTCGCTTCCAGGCGCTCCACAGCCAGCAGCCGTGGGTAAGTGAGCTTTGATTTTGACGAGAGGATTCTGCTGCTTCATCCTGGACTGAAACGCAGAACGCATTTATTCCCCTCTAAACGTTACGGCATGGGCGGCTGCAGATTCTTTTTGCCTTTCTTTTGTGTGTTTTTTCTTTTGTTAAAAGAAACTTTTGAGCTATTAAGACAGTGTTTCAACAATGTCTGAAAAGTTCATTTTTATTAGAAGCCAAAAAGAAGAGGAGCTCGTAATATCCTGGAACTGCTCTTGTCTTTCTCAAGACAACAACACAACCTGAAAAAGACATCATTCTCACATGTTAGCATTCGGGCTTAGCTGTCTTCTGATGCACTTACACAACCTGAAAGACTTCTCCACATGACATACATTACCGTGAGGTGGGGTGGGGGTGGGAATAAATTGCAAAGGCACATCTGCAGCTTTGGAAGTAGGTACTTCAGATAAGTGCACATATCTTTCCATTTATTATCTCTGACATTTTTTCTTGAAGCCTGGAGATGAAGTTTTGATTTTGAAAAGTAAGCAAGGCATTTAAAAACAAAAAAAAAAGTGCTTTAAAAAATACCCGTCTCTAAGCAAGTTAAAATGCAGGAAACAATGTTTTTTTTTTTTTCCCAACTTGTAAGTGAAAAGCATCAGGCAATGGAACTAGTGCTTTTTTAAACAATAGTCAGAAATTATTGAGCTCTTATATTTTGCTGAAAAGTCACTTCTGAGTTAGTTTTGCCTTATTTCAAACATATTGACATGTTATACACTAGAAACAAGAGCAAAAACACTTGGGGAGATTTTTTTTCTTTGGCAAAATATTTTCTATCATGCTTTGGTTTGTGTTACATACTTTTGAGGTGAGTTATTTTAAATTAATCAGTCAACGTTTCCAGTCATAAATGTATCTGAAACATTAAGAAATAGGAATGAAACGAACGATTGCTGCATGTTAAAATACCGTCTGTTCAGACTAAAAGTGAAGAGTTTTACTATGTCCACAAAGATCAATTGTAAGAAAACAAATCAAATAAAATGATGAGAATAATGAGGCAGTTCCTTTTTGACAGCCGTGAGGAGCCAGCCTGCAAGGCTTCAAAGTTTAATGTGAGAATCAATACAGTGGATCACTTAACAGAGGGAGGAGGCAGCGGCTCCCTGAGGGAATCGCTGCCAGGAAGAACTCGAAATAGTTTCACCGTCGGCTCTGGTGTCGGTCTGAACCTCTGGATGAATCCAGCGTGAGGCTGCGTGGAATTTCATCTTTTTAACTCAACGTTATCACATTACAGTTTTCTGTGCATCAAGAGCAAATGTTTGGGTTTGTGTCGCTGGTGGAACGATGTCAAACATTCCGCGCTCCCAAACCTCCCCGTGTCTTGTGGCGGTTTGGTGAACGAGTCGGTTCTAAACGCAGCCCGGAGGCAGGACCAGTCAAAGTAAAGCAGGAGGTTATTAACGAGATGCACTCACCAGAAAAGGTGCGCGGCGCAGACCAGGAGAAGCCAGTGGCACATGGAAGTGGCAACACGGGGATCTGACAAACGGATGTGAGCGACCTGAGAGTACAGACACAGTGAGGAGGTGATTACTGATGCAAGAGCAGGTGCAGATAACTATCTGAACGTGCAGCAGCTGTGGGAAAAGGCATGAGCCAAGGCAGTGAAGGAGAAAATTTGAAGAAAGTGAAAAAAAAGATTAAAAGGAAGATGACAAGAGTAAATGGGAAATGATATGAATCCACAGAACTGAAACAAAGTTACAAAACCATTGTGTTGGTCTGTTCATTAAGCGTGGACATGATATTAGATTTCTATTGGTAATATTTTGCCTGGTGTTTTTTTTTTTTTTCAGCAGGGAGACGACTGCGAGCCCCAGAACCTGCCACACAGGATGATTCAGTGAGTAACTGATAACTATTATAACTATTATTTCCCTAATCTGTACCTTTATCTAAATTTACTCCACAAACATGATGTACGCTCACAGTACAAATGACAGAAACAACTCTTGTTTTCACGTTAACTGACTTTGTTCATGCAGATATGTGAAGAGCCGACTCAGTTTGCAGAGGGGGAGAGACCCCGGCCTCAAGGATCATCCCCAGTCCAGGAGTATCCTGAGGCGGCTGACAAAGAGGTACAGAGAGCAAAGATACAGCTGAGCCACGCAGACATGAGCCGTCCAGGCAAGGAAAGGCAAATTAGTCTGAGTTGATTTCCTTTCTCAGCCGAGTTCGTTCAGAACTGCTTTGACATTTTGATTGCAGATTTTATTTCCACCAAGTCCAAATTTCTACAGTGATGAAAAAAGTAGACATGAGATCTTCCAAGGCTCACAGTGGGAAAGTCAGCGGTTTCTCACTGAACCTTGTTTGCATAATAATGTTTCCAAAAGTGATTTTTTTGTTGCACATCTGGCAACAAATGTTGTGTGTTTTCACTCAAGCGGGACTGGAAAAGGTTCAGTGTGGGTCTCAGGCCAGTGGGAGGCCGTGAAACCTTGTGTCTTCTCTGATCCAGAGGCGCGTTTCTAAAACTGGAGCCCCTTGTCAAACCTTTGCGTCTTTGTCCGACCAAAATGCTGCTGCTATGGACGACGGACCTCAAAATGTTTTTATTTCATTGTCCCAGTGTTGTCGTGAAAACAGAACCTCACCCCAATTTAAAATCCAATATGGCTGCCAAGTGTTTGAAACTGTTCCAGCTACAGTAGCAAACTGTTTATTTGGGCTTTTATCTCTCCCACAACTGCACAACTTTCTTCAGAGAACATGTTTATTCCTTTAGCTTGTTTTGCTAATAGCAGTTAGCTTGTCACTGAGCACAGCAGCGAGCAAATTCCAGTAATTTTCCTGACTTATAACTTCAACGTTTTCTAAACGCAGATCAGTGTACTCGTGTAGTCCTATTTTATAAGCTTCACTTTTAAACTTGTACAGCTTTAACACAAAAACAGCCCATAATACTACCAGAGATACTTATAACGCAGCAAAGGAGACATAATAGTAATAGAAATGAGCATCTTTTCTGTTTATATATCTGCATGTATGGTAGGCTAAACTGATGTTTCAGCATTTGAATAAACAACGCCTTTCTAACACTGCTTTCCTTAGTGCGATGAACATGATGCAGACCACAAAGCTGGGAGCGGACACAAAGGTAAAAAGTCTGGCCTCGGCTCCATCTTCGAGAGGACCTCCACTCCAAAAATGAGTAAATTAAAGGTCTGGCGTTCCCACCATTCACCCTTCACATGAAGGAATCCATGTCGACGGGAACCTGCTGTTGGCGCAGTTTCAGTGAGAACACCTGTCCTCTTTGTTTCGGGTGTGTCTGCAGGAAGCTCCCAGTCCTGAAGGTGGCGTTATAGTGAACACAGCCCAAGATGGATGTGCAGAGGGTCTGGTTTATGGAGGAGGAGGGAAAGAGGGGATCTTCATAAAGAAAGTCGTCCCAGAGTCACCAGCTTCAAAAAGCTTAAAAGTCAAAGAAGGTTATTTTTTTCATTTTATTACAAACACTAATTACATATACATGATTATTAATTCATGCAACTTCAATGTTACACAAATTAACAGTGAGGTTGATTTGTGCAACAAATTGAAGTTAAATAATTGTAATTTCAATGACTTTCTCCCAATCTTGTTCCTTAAACACCACTAATTTCACTTATTTCATTGCAACAGATTGAAAGTCAATTCTTCTTTAGAGGATCTGATCATTTTTTTTCCCTGTTGATTTTTTTTTTTTTGCAGGAGATCAGATCCTGAGCGCCACAGTGTATTTTGACAACATGTCGTATGAGGACGCCATTCAGATTCTGGAACATGCTCAGGCTTACAAATTGAAGCTTTGCCTCAAACGCCAGCCGGACATCACGGAGACGGAACCGACCATCGATTCAGACGTTATTCCTGTAACTATTCTCAAACTGCGTCTGCTAATATCTTTTTGTCATGAACATCATTTGATATTTAATGCTTCCGTTGCTCAACAGGAGGAAGAAGCCGGCTCCACAGAGATGAGGGACCAAGGAAAAACCAGAAGACGTGGCGACGCTCGCATCTCGTGGCCAAAGTTTCCCTCCTTTGGAAAAGGACGCAAATCTCGTTTCACAAGATCTCATAGTTCGTCAGAAGCAGATGAGCAGAGAAAACTTGAGCTTAGTCCGACGACAAGTGACACAGAGTCGCCTATAAAATCTCAGGATGCCCTGAAAGGAAAGAAGAAGCATAAAATAAAGCTCTCTGGCCTAACAAGAAGAGGCCGCATAAGTTCATCTGAAGACCAGGACACGGATGCTCCAACATCTGGCCAGATGAGTAGTGACGTTCAGCAGAAGCAGGAATCAGACACACTTTCGCCCGAGTTCCCCGAATACCCCATAGCAGAAACACCAGAGACCAATGATCAGGCAGGGGAAGCTATGGAGTCTGACCTGGTTCAACGCAAGGTGGCACTCATCAGAGAAGACGTCACTTTGAAAACCACAGATCCAACCGTAGCGCTGGGCGATCAGGAAGGCCAGTCTGGAGCTCCAAAATCCCCAGACGAGAAAAAAAAGAAGAAAGAGAGGTCAGAATTAAAAATGAAGATCCTGGGGAAAGATAAATCGCACAAAAAAGACGCAAAAGCAAAATCCTCTCCCAAAAGGCTTAAGACTCTCGGAGCAAGTGTTGACACGGAAGATCTTCCCGAAGCAGGAAAATCTGCTGCTATCTCAAGCTCTGAGTCAAAAACCAAATTGCTGGGAGATCAGTCTACAGTTGGTGTAGATAACAAAAGCCAAGGTGGAGAGAGTTCAAAGCTCATCTCATCCAAATCCATTACATCGCAGATAAGTTTACCAAAGGTGGAACTTGACATATCAGTGAGAAAATCTCCCAGAAAAAGTGATGACAAAACACAGAAAGGAAAGGAGACGAAACAGAAGCAAGCCAAAAAGTCCAGTCCAAAACATAAGCAATCTGAATTAGACATGAGCAATGTTGCTAATGCAGAAGAAATGGAAAAGGTGAACGACCAAGAACCAACAACTATAACTGACCGCGTTTCCAAAACACAACTTCCCAAACGTGAAGACATCGAGATTCCAGGAATGGAGGACATGTCTGTGAAAACCACTGTGGCTGATTATAAAAAGCGCAGCAAAGAAAGCCAGGCTGAAGCAGTGCAAATGTCTATTGATGTTGATAGTGTGAAAGAAGCTGTTTCTAAATTACCTGGATTTAAGCTGCCTCAACTGGATATATCAGGGGTGCCTATCCCGGAAGAAATAACTGTCATAGATGCTAACGCACAAAGAATATCTGTAAAAACGCCCACAAAAGTCGTAAAACCAAAACCAGAAGAACATCTGACAAGGTCTGACACAACGGCATCTTCAGAAATCTCTAAAACAATCTTTTTGACTGACAACAGGTCTGACTTTAAGAGCTCTCAAATGGAAGACAATACCAGCCCAACAAAGTGCAAAAGTGAAGAGGAAACAAACGGAAAAGCAGCAGCAAAGGAAGAGCTGAAGATGTCCACTAGGCCAAAGATAACAATGCCTAGCTTTGGGATGTCAGCAAAAAGCAGAAGACTGCCTTATATTGGGATTGACATGCAGAAACCAAGCTTCAGTCAGGAAAAAGAACTAACAACTGAAACAAGAAAAGATGAAAGACAAACTGGAGAAGTCATATGTAAAGTCAAAATACCTGAACTTGATGGTATTGAGTACATTGACTCAATGGATGAGTCGGTCAAAAAGGATGGTGGCTTCGCAAGTTTTAATACAAGTTCTGACACGAAGACAATACTTGCCTTTTCTTTCGAAAGTAAAGAAACATCTGATAAACTTGAGGATGAAAGAAATAAGCTGTCCAAAGTTAGAATGTCTCCTTCAGGCACACCTAGTGGAAAAGAGGATATCTCTGCCGAAGGGACGACAAAACCTCAAGACAGAGATGGAAAGAGTACATTTAAATGGCCAAACCTGGACATCTCAGTGCCAAAAATAAAAGGAACAACAGTTGATATCAAGACATCTAAGAAAGACACAGCTCACACAGAAGCACTGGCTGAAGGAGGGCTAATCCCAGGAGGCCCAGAGAGCGATATGGTCCTCAAGAGCTCTGATGTTCCTAAAGAAATGGCAGAGGCAGAAAAACCACAAGTGGAAATAAAGCCAACTGAAACTGAAGGTGAGCTTGACTGGGAAGCAAGCAAATTGACAAAGTTTGGGATTAAAATGCCAAAAATCAAAGGCCCAGAATTTGACTTGAGTTTGTCAAAGAAAGAAGCACATGGCAAAGCTGCAGGTAAACTCCCAGAAGCATATAAAACAGAAGTTACTCCTGGAAAGGGAAAAGTATATTTTCTGAAGCAAAAGATGCAGTTAGAAAAACCTGGAGAAGTTAAACCTTTGCAGTCCAAGGATGAACACTTCCAAGGAGGCAAAATCAAAATCCCAAAGTTTGGAGTCAAAACAACAAAATTAGCAGGTCCTGAGATAAGCTTGTCAAAGAAAGATGCAGAGGTTACCCTGCCAGAGGCTAAACCTGAGATCAAACTCACTGAAGGTTCAGGAACAGATGTGAACAAAGACAGTGTTAAGCCAGAAGAACAGAAAGGAATAGAAAAGTCTGATCTGAAAATCAAAACAATGCAGAAGGAAGGTGAAGCGAAAGGACATGGACACAAGATCAAAATGCCCCAGCTGGGAATTGCACTGCCAAAAGTTACAATGCATGAGTCAGATTTAAGCCTGTCGAAGAAAGGCAAAGATCTGACACTGCCTGAAGTTAAAGGAGAAATCAAAGATCTTGAGGTTGATGGAACTGGATCATCAACAAAACTAGATGTTAGAGCTCCTGGAATTAAAGTTGAAACAAAGGATGTTGAAGGATCATCGTCAAAATTCAAAATGTCCCCTTTTAAATTTTCCAGATTTGGAGCTGCTCCTTCAAACCTCAGCGGCGAGGTAAGCGAAGCTTCTGAAACACACACATTGGAAGATGGTGCTGGTATTGATGCTGCCATACCAGACAGTGATGTAAAAATGAAAGCATCTGAAATTGATGGAAGAGCAAATAAGTTCAAAATTCCAAAATTTGGAATAGCACTTCCAAAACTAAAGGGTTCTGAAATGGATACAACCCAATCCCAAAAGGTTGATGTAGATGTCATATTGTTTAAAGGTGACACTGAAATAAAACTCATTGATGCTGAGCATGAAGAACCTGGTATCAGGATGAAGGGCAAATTTCCCCAGATTGGAGTTCAGCAAGATGTTGGGTACTCAGCATCAAAACCTGAAATCACAGTACCACTTTCTGATGCTAAAGCAGAAGTCAAGCTGTCGCAAGTTGATGGAGAAAGAATCAACTTTTCATCTCCTGTGGTCCTTAATGAGACACCAGAGCTGGAGATCCCGACCATGAAGGTTGAGAATCACCTTGACAGACAAGAAGAAAAGATGAAGCTGTCAAAGATTGGAATAAAAATGCCCAAAATTAAAGGACCGGAGTTTCAACTTGGACTCACAGGTAAAGACACAGATGTCATGGAGGCAGAAGGCAAAGTGGACAATAAAACTAAGGTAGGCGTCCCAGTTCCTACAGCAGATGTTAGCCTGGGAAAAGCAGAAATCTTGATATCTTCTGGAAAAGTGGAAGTTGGAAAACCAGAAATGCAAATTCAACCTACAGTTGAAGGACAAGGAAGCAGGTTCAAAATGCCAAAATTTGGAATCACAATGCCAAACGTCAAAGGACCTGAAGGAAAGAAGAATGTAGAGTCTTGGTCTAAGGAGACCAAGACTGACATAAAAATACCTGATGCAAATTTTGAGGCACCAGATGTGGAACAATCCCCATCAAAATTTAGTATGCCAACTGTCAAATTACCAAAATTAGGACTGGGCACTTTAGACAAAAATGTACAAGGAGATGACATTGATAAAGACATTCCTGATGATGTTCTTGCAGTTACCATTGTTGCACCGAGCTCTGACCTCTCAAAAATTGATATCGATACACATCTTCTTGAAAGTAAAACTGAAGTTGCACTTTCGAGTGATGATGTAAACAAATACCCCATTGGAGTGGCAGCTACAGCTCCACAAATGAAAGTGTCAAAAAAAGAAAAAGAAGGGTCACCATCCAAATTTAAGATGCCGACATTCAAGTTACCAAAACTTGGGCTTTCTGTTCAAAGTTCTACTGAAGAGCCTCCTCTGGACAAAGATCTCAAAACAGGAGACGTGGAGATGTCTGGAGAGATTCTTTCAACAAGCCTAGAAGCACCAAGAATTGACGTTAAGGCTCCATCAGTAGCTTTAAAAACTACAGGAACTGAGAGTGAAGAAAGAGGAAGAAAGTTTAAACTGCCAAGTCTTGGTTTTTCAGCATCGCAAACCAAAGGACTTGATACTGACATTACCTTACCCACAACAGAAGTTGATGTTACCTTACCCACAACAGAATTTGATGTTACCTTACCCACAACAGAAGTTGACATTACCTTACCCACAACAGAAGTTGATGTTACAGTACCACAAGTCAAAACAGAAATCAAACTCCCTGAAGAAAAGTTTAACAAATCTTTTGAAGTGGAAGCTAAAGCTCCAGAATTGAAAGGTACAAGAATAGAAAAAGAGGGCTCACCTTCCAAGTTTAAGATGCCGACATTCAAGATGCCAAAATTTGGGCTTTCTGCTCAGAGTTCCACAGCAGAACTGCCTCCTTTGGACAAAGATCTCAAAACAGGAGAAGGTGAAATTACCACTTCTGGAGAGATTCTCGTTGGAAGCCTAGAAGCACCAAGAATTGACGTTAAGGCTCCATCAGTAGCTTTAAAAACTACAGGAATTGAGAGTGAAGGAAGAGGAAGAAAGTTTAAACTGCCAAGTCTTGGTTTTTCAGCATCGCAAACCAAAGGACTTGATACTGACATTACCTTACCCACAACAGAAGTTGATGTTACCTTGCCCACAACAGAAGTTGATGTTACCTTGCCCACAACAGAAGTTGATGTTACCTTGCCCACAACAGAAGTTGATATTACAGTACCAGAAGTCAAAACCGAAATCATAATCCCTGAAGAAAAGCTTAGCAAATCCATTGAAGTGGAAGCTAAAGCTCCAGAATTTAAAGGTACAAGAATAGAAAAAGAGGGCTCACCATCCAAGTTTAAGATGCCGACATTCAAGATGCCAAAATTTGGGCTTTCTGCTCAGAGTTCCACAGCAGAACTGCCTCCTTTGGACGAAGATCTCAAAACAGGGGAAGGTGAAATTACCACTTCTGGAGAGATTCTCGTTGGAAGCCTAGAAGCACCAAGAATTGACGTTAAGGCTCCATCAGTAGCTTTAAAAACTACAGGAATTGAGAGTGAAGGAAGAGGAAGAAAGTTTAAACTGCCAAGTCTTGGTTTTTCAGCATCGCAAACCAAAGGACTTGATACTGACATTACCTTACCCACAACAGAAGTTGATGTTACCTTGCCCACAACAGAAGTTGATGTTACCTTGCCCACAACAGAAGTTGATGTTATCTTGCCCACAACAGAAGTTGATATTACAGTACCAGAAGTCAAAACCGAAATCATAATACCTGAAGAAAAGCTTAGCAAATCTTTTGAAGTGGAAGCTAAAGCTCCAGAATTTAAAGGTACAAGAATAGAAAAAGAGGGCTCACCATCCAAGTTTAAGATGCCGACATTCAAGATGCCAAAATTTGGGCTTTCTGCTCAGAGTTCTACAGCAGAACTGCCTCCTTTGGACAAAGATCTCAAAACAGGGGAAGGTGAAATTACCACTTCTGGAGAGATTCTCATTGGAAGCCTAGAAGCACCAAGAATTGACGTTAAGGCTCCATCAGTAGCTTTAAAAACTACAGGAATTGAGAGTGAAGGAAGAGGAAGAAAGTTTAAACTGCCAAGTCTTGGTTTTTCAGCATCGCAAACCAAAGGACTTGATACTGACATTACCTTACCCACAACAGAAGTTGATGTTACCTTGCCCACAACAGAAGTTGATGTTACCTTGCCCACAACAGAAGTTGATATTACAGTACCAGAAGTCAAAACCGAAATCATAATCCCTGAAGAAAAGCTTAGCAAATCCATTGAAGTGGAAGCTAAAGCTCCAGAATTTAAAGGTACAAGAATAGAAAAAGAGGGCTCACCATCCAAGTTTAAGATGCCGACATTCAAGATGCCAAAATTTGGGCTTTCTGCTCAGAGTTCTACAGCAGAACTGCCTCCTTTGGAAAAAGATCTCAAAACAGGGGAAGGTGAAATTACCACTTCTGGAGAGATTCTCATTGGAAGCCTAGAAGCACCAAGAATTGACGTTAAGGCTCCATCAGTAGCTTTAAAAACTACAGGAATTGAGAGTGAAGGAAGAGGAAGAAAGTTTAAACTGCCAAGTCTTGGTTTTTCAGCATCGCAAACCAAAGTACTTGATACTGACATTACCTTACCCACAACAGAAGTTGATGTTACCTTGCCCACAACAGAAGTTGATGTTACCTTACCCAGAACAGAAGTTGATGTTACCTTGCCCACAACAAAAGTTGATGTTACCTTGCCCACAACAGAAGTTGATATTACAGTACCAGAAGTCAAAACCAAAATCATAATCCCTGAAGAAAAGCTTAGCAAATCCATTGAAGTGAAAGCTAAAGCTCCAGAATTTAAAGGTACAAGAATAGAAAAAGAGGGCTCACCATCCAAGTTTAAGATGCCTACATTCAAGATGCCAAAATTTGGGCTTTCTGCTCAGAGTTCCACAGCAGAACTGCCTCCTTTGGACAAAGATCTCAAGATAACTGGAGGAGAAATGACAATGTCAGAGGAGGTCATTGTAGTTAGCACAGAAGGACCAAGTGTTGAAATTGGGGATTTATCCATAGAGTCAAAAAAAGAGGGAAGTGAACGTGAAGGAAAAGGAAAAAGGTTTAAGTTGCCAAGTCTTGGATTTTCTGCTACGCAGGCCAAAGTGCCGGACACAGATTTAAGCTTGAAGACAGGAGTAGATGTTACACAACCAGAACTCAAAGCTGAAGTCAAATTTCCTGATGATGAACTGAAAAGAACAGAAACAGAAATAGAAAGTAAAGGATCTGAATTTCAAGTTGAAGCAAAGGACATTGAAGGATCAACATCCAAGTTTAAAATGCCAACTTTTAAATTACCCAAATTTAGGCTTGCCACTCAAAGTTCCATTGAAGAACTATCTTCTTTTGACAAAGATGTCAAAATCAGTGGAGGTGAAACCACAGGCTTAGAGGAGGTACTTACAGTTACCACAGAAGGACCAAGCATTGAAATTAAGGGGACATCAGTAGATTTAAGCACTGAAGGAAGTGATCTTGAAGGAAAAGGAAGGAAGTTCAAACTGCCAAGTCTGAGTTTTTCAGTACCTCAAGCCAAAGAGCCAGAGACTGATTTGAGCGTAAGGACAGATGTAAATGTCAAAGTACCAGAGGTAAAAACTGAAGTCAAACTTCCAAGCACCAAATCTTCTGTTGAAGTGGAAACTGAAGCACTTGAATCCAAAGATACAAAAAAGACTACAGAAAGCTCACCCTCCAAATTTAAAATGCCAAATTTTAAGTTACCAAAATTTGGGCTTGCTACTCAAATTTCCACTGGAGAAGTACCTCCATTAGACAAAGGTGTAAAACCAGTAGAAGGTAAAATCACAACTTCAGAAGAGGTTATTGTAGTTACCACAGAAGCACCAACCATTGAAATGAAGGGTCCATTATTAGAGCTAAAAACTGAAGGAAAAACTGAAGGAAAAATTGATCGTGAAGAAAAAGGAAAAAAGTTTAAGTTGCCAAGTTTAGGTTTTTCTGCGACAGAAGCTAAAGGGACTAGCAGTGATTTAGAGTTATCAAAGACAGAAATGGACGTTACATTGCCAGAAGTAAAAGCTGAAGTCAAACTCCCTGATGACGAGAATCTGATAAAAACATCTACTGTGATAGAAATTAAAGGACCTGAAATCAAAACTGATGGATCGCCATCCAAATTTAAAATGCCTGCATTCAAGTTACCAAAATTTGGTCTTACTTCTCAAAGCTCTACAGAAGAAGGTCCTTTGGAGAAAGATGAGAAAGATGGTGAACCTAAAAACACTGTCACTGCAACAGAAACTAAGGCACCTGAAATAACGGTTGTGTCAAAAGACACTGATGGATCGCCATCCAAATTTAAAATGCCAACATTCAAGTTGCCAAAATTTGGCCTTGCTTCCCAAAGTTCAAACAAACAAGTACAAGATGTCAAAACAGTGAAAGGTGAAAGTACTACTTTGGAGGAAGTTCTCACAGTTACAACAGAAGAACCAAGCATTAAAATTAAGGGTCCATCTGTGGATCTAAGGAGTTCAGAAACTGATGATGAAAGAAAAGGAAGTAAATTTAAACTTCCAAATCTTGGTTTTTCATTATCACAATCCAAAGGACCGGATACCAACATTAACTTACCCAAGGCAGATGTAGATGTCACAGCACCAGAAGTCAAAGCTGAAGTTCAATTTTCCAACGCAAATGTGGAACAACCTTCAGTGCAAATGGACATTAAGTCTCCAGTGATCAAAGCTGATATCAACACTACATCAGAAGTTGAATTGCCTAAAATTACATTACCGAAATTTGAATCCGTAACCCCACATGTCAGTATGGAAAGACCTAAAATGACCAAAGAGAAAAGGGGTGATGTGGACCTTCATGTTGATACTGATACAGTAGATTTTAATGTTAAAGCAGGGGAACTAAAGAAATACGAAGTCCAGACACCAAGTGCTGAGGCAAAAGGCGAAGTTGAACTTGAAGGTAAAGTCAAACGGCTAAATTGGACTTTTCCTAGCATCTCATTTTCAAGAACTGGTGGCCAAGCCCCTGCCGTCGACGTCAACATGGAAACTCCAAAAGATGGTGTGACGTCAGTGGAGACCAAAATCTCAGATGTTGATGTTAAAGAATCTTCAATGGTCCCAGCTCCAGAACTTGACCCAGGTTTGAAGAAAAGTAAATTTTCACTTCCCAGGTTTTCATTTTCAAAGCCGAGCTTGAAAGAGACTGAAGTAAAAGCTGAGCTTCCAGAAGTCAAAAATTATGAAACCGATATGACAACAGAGATCAAACTCTCTGCAGATGAAGACAAAAACGTCCTAACTGCTTTTGAAGTGACAAATTCTGAGGCTGAAGTCAAGTCCAAAAAATTTAAAATGCCTACTCTGAAAATGCCAAGATTTGGCAGTGCGTCTTACGAGGTAACAACAGAAACGCACATTTCAGATAGAACAGCTGAAGAAGATGGAAGTCAGCTGGGGGAGGGTGCTGCTGTTCTCATCAAAGGTCCAACGATTGATTTTGAATCAGATACCCCCAAATCAGAACAACAGGATCAAGAAACCCTAAACATAGAAAGTGATAGTGCAGTTCAAGGATCTCCAAGTAAATTCAAACTACCTACCTTTAAAATACCACGGCTGGGTCTTTCCAGATCCAAGCCTGAAGAGGAATCTGTTCACTCTGAGTATGAAAACAATGAAGATCAACTGGAAATGAAGATTGCGCCAGAAGAAGAAAATCTATCACCAAAACTGACTTTAACATCATTTGGTGACATTCTTAAGTCGATTGATGTTGACTTTGACGTTCGAAAAGTGGACAAAGTTGATCAAGACGTTGAAACCTCAAAGGAATCTCATGAGCCAGGCGAAGCCACCACAATGCACACATCGGCAAAAACCAAGCACGATACCACCAAAAGTCCGGAGAGCTCGAGCTGGTTTAAGTTCCCGAAGTTTGGCCTGTCTTCCCCAACAGAACAACAAAAGATTCCTGACAAAGCAGAACAAGTAAAAGATAGCAGCCCAGTCGGGGTATCCAAGGACGAGGAAGTAAGTCCCACCCTTTCTGTCCAGTCATCAGATGCTTTTGCTGATGTTAGCTCTACAATCACAAGTGAGCCTATTGGCCCATTCATACCTTCCCCAACCAAGGTGACAGTCAAATACTCTGACGAAAGCGCAGGTGCTGGATTTGAAGAGATGCACAGTGACATCATGACTTCCACGACAAGGACTGAGCTGATCACAGATGTGCCCACCTTGCCGGAGAAGATCACTATTTTGTCTTCTGGTGTTTCATCTTCTTCTGAAGATACAGTAAGATTAACGTCGGGAAAAATACACATCATCACATCAAACATACAGCCTACTCCTGAGTCACAGAATGCCAAGATTCTGTCTGCTGTCCAAGTCCAATCAGAGGAAGGCTTTACTTTACAGTCGGAGGGAGATGAAGCGCCATCGTGGATGGTCCAAGATGCTCGAAGTGCCACAAGGACAGTCAAACACTTAGTCCAAGAAACAACAACCGAAAGAAGTGAGAGCAAGGAGACTGTGGTTATAACCAAGCAAATCACCCATATATTTGGCCCCACAGAACCCATCTCAGGAGAGACAGCGTCATCTATTCAACGTCTCAAAGACTCTGTGCACACTGAGAAAATGAGGTTCTTTGATGAGGCTGAGAAGTGAAAGAAAAATTTGAATTCGTGTTTAAAGATACAACTCCTTGTTATGTGGTTCGCCATAAAAGAAGGGCATACAGTTCCACCGCCTGAAGTTAAAAACAAAATGGCAACTGGATGAGGGACCAATCAATCTAACATACCAATCACTGAAAGTTCTTGTTAGCATCCAGATATCACCATGGCAATGTGATGTGGAGTTGCATGCTTATTGAGCTTTATAGAAATGCACCGCTGTAGCAAATGACTGTTACATTTATATTGTGGTCAAGATGTTAATAAGCTGGTTAAATGATTCTCCTCATTGCATAATATGTGTTTGCTTTATAGTAAACAATGTTTGATTTATGCTAGCATACACAGTGCCTTGCAAAAGCATTGATGCCCCATACATCATCACATTTCTTTACATTATAACTACAGCATTGATGAACTGACAAGGGGCTTTTGGATCCCAAAATGGTGGGAAAACAATGCATGGTATTTAAGTTGAGTGAATATTACCAATATTCTTAAAGGAAAATCTGGAATTGTGATATGTGTGTTAACACACACCCCTTACTAAGTTCTCAATAGATGCTAGAATTACGTTTGGCTGCAAATCCCAAGGGTGCGTTTCTGGAGGCTTTGTATTTGTAGACATACGGAACTTCCACATTATTCTGTGAACCTTAACCTTTAACGCTTTCCACAAATTCTTATTTGGACTGAAGAATCCAAATAAGAATAGCATCCCGACAGCAGGATTCTTCTGGCACTATTAAAGGGGCAGTATTATTTAAAATAAACTTTTTTGAGCTTTACATCATGTTATAATGCTGCCCCTCATAAAAAAAAAACATGCCTGGATTGTTGGCTTGACAAATTAAACTCCATGGCAACTACTCCTGGGGGAACCTGGTGCAGCTCCTCCTATGAGATCAGCTCCTTCAGACTAGTCATCAGCAATTAGCAAACACCTGGTGGAAGTCTTATCTTTTTGGTGTGTGTTAAGATTGAAACGTTATGGAGGCTCCTAGAGGTTTGGGTGACCTAAGCAGTGACTTAGTTTGCCTGTACATAGGGCTGCTCCTCTGAATAATAAAAATATTATATTCGCAAAAAAAAAAAAAGTTGTGAAAATGCATTGTTTTCCTCCTCCCATTTTACTTCAGTGTGACTTTGTGTTCGTCACATCACAAACAAACAATGCATTGAGATTTTATGAAAAACTTTGAGGGTTATGAATTTTTGTTCTGAGACACTGTGTGAAATATTTTCTGTCAGTTTGTGCTTTTGAAATCTGCTCAAGTTAATTACTTTGCGGGATGATGACTAGAGCATTCAGTGAGAAAAGAGACAGTGAGAGAGCGAGACAGAGAGAGAGAGACAATGTTGCTGATATTCCAGAGTATGTTCACAGTTAGCGCTTTAAGCAGAAAAATATTTACAGCAAAGAAAATTATATACAAGTAAAAAAAAGATGCAAATGTACAGGAATTATCTATATACTGTTGCTACAGTTGATGTGTAAAGAAACAATACCATTGAAAGGCTGAAGTGAAATGTTTATTGTAGAACTCTTAAAGTGCCCTGCTGCAATTACACTGGTAACAACTCACTGTGCAGAAGCTACTTTGCTATGATGTGCACTAAAACTGTTAAGTATATCTTCCTTTAGTAGGAGAGTTACTGACCCAGCCGTGTAAATAGCTTTTGGAAACCATGTTATTTTTTTGGTCACTGCCCTTGTTTTTATCCTGATAGGCTATAATATAACTGAATGTATTTACAAAGTCATACGCAATAAATAACATAAAAAGGAACAGGAAACTTTTTCCAAGTTTGCTGATTGATCGTCTTTCTTCTTTTCTGTCTTCAAGAGAAATCTTAAACATTAATGAATCTCTTATAATAGATGTAAAAACTTGAGGGAAATTTAAACCTCGAGTTTAAATTTTTCTCATCTAAAAAATAAAAGAAAATCTTCTGATCTTTAGTATCAGAACATTATTGCAGCTATTTAGCTGGTTGTTGTTTTGCATTTATGCTATGCATAAAGACTCATGGAGGATCCCTTCCCCTTGATGAATTAAAAGATTTTTGTGGCATTTATTTTGATATATTATCTACTTCAAAAGCAGTATATGAAAGCACTCAGCTTCAGGAACTGTAACTGCAAAGAAATTCCACTAGAGGGAGACACAGTTCATATTTTTTGAAAAAAAAAAACATGTTCATTGGTTACCTGGTGTAGTCCAACTATGACTGTTTCCTTATCATTACAGTGTTTTTTTTACTCTAGTGTAAGTCTGTCAGTGACGTAAGAATCCAATCACATGGAAAGCATAAAATAAGTTCACATATTCAGTTTTAAACATTTAAATTTAATCAAAATTGGGAAAGTTATCACCCACCTGTTAGCAAAAACTGTAAATCCACCAAATTAAACAGTGATAAAGAAAAGTTCTGATGATTTTTGCTCTTCAGACCAGCTGAGGGAATGCAGATGACTTGATTTAAAATAAAGAGTCATATCTAGAATGTTACAGGTGGCAGAAATAGAGACATCGCCAGTGGAGTGGGAGGATCATCAAGCCTGACAGTTGAAAGCATTTCCAGAGTCTGATAGAGTTGGTATGGATTGTTCTGATGGGTGTTTACCGGTTCTGAGTGGTTTCATTTTGCATCTAAACGTGGTGTACAGTAGTGGACCAAAGTTGGAGCAAGTTTACCCACACACATTGTGTCATCCTGCATGGTTATGTCTTTTGCATGCTGGGTAATTGCCCCAATCCAGCCACCTGGCCTCATTCACACACATCGACTTCTGGCGATGCTTTTTCATGGATCTGCAAGAAATCTTCTGTGGCCTGTGGCTGCTTACTCATGTTTTTCCACAGACTGTTGGATGTAACGGCATCTTCCTGTAACGCCATCTCCCCTGCACACTTTTTCAGTAACTTTGCTGATGAATGGGAGGTCAGAGGTCGGCCTGTGATTCTGTAGGGGTGATTTGTCCAGATTGTTCTTTTTTATGAGTGGTTTGATAACTGCTGTTTTCAAAGCCTGGGGGAAAACGGCTGATGAGAGATGAATTACTATTTGGATCAGATCACTAACAACGACAGGCAGAACTTTCTTAAAGAAATGTGTGGGTGCTTGACTCCTTCCACTCAGAGGAGCAGCAGCTCCAGCTCTGCCTGGATGATGACATTTTTCTCATTTTACGTCATAATAATCCAGAATTTTAGCAGGTGTGTTTAGACTTCTTTTGCATCTGGAACAACTTATGAAAGTCCCATGTTACAGAGTTATCAAAACTACTTCCCTTACAAATATGGAATATAACATGAACAAAAAAGTCTGATAAAAAGTCTATCTCAGCACACAGGAACACAGGAACAGATAAATGTAGAAAACATGACGTCATAAGGATACAATCTGAACTAAGAATATACAATTTTAATTATGCATGTATTTCTTATCTTAGTTGTGTTCAACAAACAAACAAGCAATAAAAAGCAGATTTACGCATTTAACTCACGTGTTTCAAATTTCATGTGAACGATCATGCGACCAATCCCGTCAGTGACTCGTCGCCCTCACGAGGCGGGGGGGAAAAAACGCGCAAAAGAGCGAGTCCTCAACGTATTTCCGCCTGGCTCCAAAAATCCCCACCTTTCCGTATTCCGTGAAGGCAGCACCAGCCGCGCTCCACTGCGCAGACTCGAAACACTTTGGTACGAGCGGCAACTTCACAGAGAACCTTGTCCGCTCCTCCGCCTGTCGCCCACATCATCATCATCATCATCATCATCATCATCATCAGCCACAGCAGCAGCAGCAGCAGCTGCAGCCTGGTCGGCAGCAGCATCAGTGTGATGAGGCAGCGGAGGAGGGAGACCTTCCAGCTCTGAGACTCTGGATCAGGTAGGAGAGTTTCTTCTTCCCATCAAGACAGAAGCAAAATAAATAAATAGGATTACTCTTCAAACTCATTTTAATACTTTATTAAAAAATAAAAACAAAACAAAATAAAAAAAATTTTTTGGGACATTTTTAAGTGTTTCCTCATGCAGTGGATCTCCTTCTACCTGTTGTACAGGGTCAGTTCAAACTTGTCCTGAAACAGCCGGTCGAGACATTTATGTAACGTTTTGATTTGTTCCAAGTTGCGTGCAACGCCTTGCAGAAATCTAAGCTTCTGTGCCGCTGAGATACCAGGGGACTGGTGAACTGGGACAACAATCAAACTGGACTCCAGCTGGAGGACAGCGGCCAGGCGGGTCACAGCTCCTGTTTCTGGGCGCAATGAAGACATTTCTTTTCGGGCCCCAAATCTCACAGGATTTAGGGGGAAAAAGTGTCATTTTGAGATGGAGTTTCTGTTTTAAAGGGACAGTTCTGCATTCTTGAAATTAGATCACACTGAAAGGCAGCGTGCAGTTAAAGTGTTACTTCCGCTTGGCAGATTCTCTGTGGATAGTTTTTATTTGTATGAATTTCTCATTTTTATGTATTTATTTATTTTTTCAGTACTCCTGCTTCCTCTGTCAGGCTGGAAACACGACTGTTAGGTTGACATGTCTCTTTAATTCGCTGTTAGTGGTGAGTGTGTGTTGGGTTGTGTGTCTCTGTCCTTCCTACATGGTGGACTTTTGGACATTGATAAAGTGTCTCGTTTACTTATTGGATCTTACGCTACTCAAACTCTGTTGGTGTCTTCATTTAGTGCAAATCCAGCTTGTTTGGCCCGGTCCAACAGGCTACGATTGAAGTCGATTTCTGCTTTTTCAGACACTTCCAATCCCAGAAACATTCAGGCGATTCATGCTAACTTTATTTTGTGAACCTTTAAAATGACGGACGCACCGATTGACAGTTGTCTGGCCGATCAGCTTCTGACCCCATTGATTCCAACGATTGGCCAATTTAGCCAGTTTTTATTTATTTATTTTTTTTTAACTGAAAAGTTGCTGAGTAAAGCGACAAAGTTACTATATTTAGTAAAGGTGTTACCAGATGTGACCTCGTGAGCGTGGCCCCTCACGACAGAGCAACAGGAGACCGTGGGTGATTTTTAGACCTCTGCAGAGGAAGACGAGATCGGTGGATACGATCGCTTTCTCATGTGAGTATCGACCGTTTACGGAACTCCCAAAATAAAAATAACAAATGATTTATTGTTGCAGCCATATGTTTGCGATGAGCTGTTATTCATGCAGAAGCAAGTTATTATTTCTAGAAGGAAATGGAAACTGGAGGCAACAGAACCAAACTCTTACAGTATAGAATAATTATGTTATGAAGATTTCTAAAAGAACTAAATTATAACTATGGTTGTGATTAACAACATTTCGTTTTCTGGAAAGCTGAGAAGTACAGAAAAGAGAAATCATGTAAGCTGATCCGGTGTTACAACATGAAGTGAAGTAATGGTGACAGTGGTGTGTTAAAAAAAAAAATAGATATCATTTTTTTTATTGATATCTATACGCCTCACTGGGGACAGACATAATGAATCATCAGTATCTATTCCTACTGGAAGCTTGTCTCTACTCAAATAAACTAATAAAGTCAAATTCACCAACAAAAAAAAAGAAACAAAAAGGGTTAAAATTGGGATTCATGAGAGAGTTTAAAGGCAAAAAACCAATGCTGAGAAAGTTGAAGAACATTTTCCCGTTTTCAAAATAAATACTTCAGTGATCGCGAAGAGTTTTGATAAAATAGTTTACGAAGTGTGGAGACAAAAGTTGGAACTTTTTGAAACACGTCACTCCTGACAACAAAACCTACACAGGATGTCAGACAAAGAACATTGTTGACAGTGAAGCACAGCGGTGGCGGTGTTATGGTCTGGGACTGCTTTTCTGTTCTGTTCTGCATAGTTTGTGTTAATTGTTCGAACCGTGAATTGTTGCTCTCTGGCGATACTGTCCAGTTAAACGCTGATGCTGAAGCACAGTTGGCTTCTCATAAACCCTCCAGTGTGACTGAATTAAAACAACGGAGCAGACGACTGGGCCACCATTCCTCCTCAGAAAGACTCGTTGCCAGACATTTGAAACGCCTGATGGCAGATGTTGTTGTTGTCAAAGCTGGTACAATCAGATACTAGGCTGAGAGAGCAGTTATGATTTCACATTAGACCAGGTTGGTTTGGAAGGCATTTCCCTTAATAAAAGAAATTGGAACATGAAATCTGGATTTTGTGTTTATTCAGGACGATCATGGGCGGATCCATTTCAAAATAATCCTTGGGTTTTGTGTAAATAAACGACTGCAGGCATGTGAATGTCCTGAAGGTTTCATAAAGCCGTAACGTTCTACTGCTTTAAGAGAAATGTGAGCGTTATCTATTGCGAAGCAAGATACTGCCTGCTTTGACAGAACCCGACTTTAAAAATGAAGGACTTTCCCTTTAGCTGCTAAGCTGAACGGGTTGGAATTGCGGCCTCAGTGATGTAAGAGAGAGTGGAGGAGGCGTTTTCATAGTATCCCCTCAACGCTCTGGATCTGCCAAAGAAAAGTTGTGAAAGCAACTGGCTGCCGAAAAGCCCAAAAGGCTCTCCGCTTAAAAAGTCTCCACTGTGTCAAATCTGCTGATGGGCTCAAGAAAGAGGACAAACTGTGTATGTTTTTTTTTTTTTTTTGTGAGGATTAAGAGTAAGACTGTGGGTGATTTTCTGGAAAGCGCCATGCCACACTCTTCAGTTTGAAAACTGTATAAAATGGTTGATAATTCACTCAGAGATAAGAAGCTTCTGGCTCCATTCTTGGATCTGTGACTGGCCCTTTAAGAGATTTAGAGACTTTTCTTGCTTCGCTGGTCGTCGCCTTATCATTTACTCATCTGATTTGGCGTCACAACGACATTGCCCATGTGGCTAGCAGTAGTCATTTTTCTTATTGAGGTTGTTTTAAGACGACAGTTAGCGTTAGCATGCTATCTTCACCAGGTCTCTGCAGCAGCTGACCATGGGCTATGTCAAAAAATATCCTGTTCAATTAACAATCTGATGCTATTTTTACATAGCATATTGTTAGCATATTTTGTTTAAAATGTGTTTGAAAAATACTTGCAGTTTGGAGAAACAACTTGCAAGGACATTCAAGTATTACTGGGCAAGAAATGTAGTAAGTTTTCTTTTGCTGTGTGTTAAATTTGGGTGATTTGAACAAATAAATATAATTATCATGATGCGGTTTCAGATAAAAAGAGGTAGTTTCCAACACAGAGTCTGTTACAAACGCAAACTCAAAGAACAAGTATTATTTTAGTCCAGTTTTTCATGCTGTGACAGTCTCATAATCATATATAGCAACAATATATCCAGTCACACTCTTGCTAATTCATGTTTGAATCCTTTTTTATTAATAGGCGTTCAACGGTGTATTTGTCCTGAAAGGTCATGGTACAGACGTCGCAATCAAGTCCATGCAGTCGGACAAAGAATATATTAGGTGCAAAGGACGGCAGCTCTCCTCTAGAAGACGATGTGCGTTTGTGTTGAGTTGCTCTGGTCCCGCCTGGATGCTGTGGCAGAAACTGAACAGATGAACTACCAAACCAAAACAATTCTCACGCTTCTTGGTGAACCAGCTCCTTCGTCACTTAGCATCTTTGGAGACTTGGCCTCCTCGCCCCAGATACCTGTGGGCACGGCCTTTCTGCCCCGATCTCAAGTATCAGACTGAAGTCATGTTCCAACCAAGGGTGTTTTATTTCCTGCTGTCTTACTTGGTGACTACACTTTTTGTCCTGTGCTCACCTGCAGGTACATTGAAAGTGCAATAGTTGGGAGGACACGGCGACATTTGCTTGATGAGTTTCGGCTGAAGAGTTCTGTAGGGCCGTGATATAACTGAGACGAACAGCTGGCTCATGTCCAGCGACTACTAATACCATCCATTTCATTGGTCGCTACTTGTTTTGCTTTTGGAAATATTTCCAAACCAACATTTTTTTCTTTCTTTTTAATCAAGCTTGGTTTTAGCTGGCTGGCAGCAGTGGGCTAGGAGTGCATCACTGTGGGAACTAAATGTGTGCAGTGAACGGAAGAAGAGCCTCCTGACACACACCGCACTGTGTGAACTTGTCAGCAGACTGGCTGTCTATTTTGCAGCATGTTATTTGACCTGACAGACATGTCAAGTTTTGGACTTGAGAATACGGGGACTGTGGCCATCCGGCGACACCGTCACTGCGGGGTGGGGAGCGGAACTGACGTAAGAGCCGGAGGGGCCGGATGGCGGGTCAAACATGTAGGGGAAAACGACAGGACAGTACGGGAGCCCGGCGGGGAAGAGGGGGTGAGAAAAACATGAATTTCCGGGCCAAAACGGGAGACTTGACAAGTTGGAAGATATAATGAGAGCCACAACAGGGTAATAAATTCAGCAAGTAAGGACTGTTTTAAATTAGTGAACACTAATTTAAAACAACCAGGTGCATCAAAACATCACAACCCTTTTGCCAAATGAAACATTTTGAGAGTAGATTGATTTGCATCATAGATCGAGTGATAGATCCTCGATCTATCACTTTACATTTCTTCTTACAGTGGAGCTGACATAAAATGACTAAGAAGTTCTTCTTTTCCTTAGTTTATTGTTGTTTCATGTTCTAAATCTTAGATACCCATGAAAGCATTCCTGAGCTCTGACATGCTGCAGCTTGGTGACGGCTGGTCATTTCACTCCTCTTGCCGTTTTCTTTTTCTTTTTTCTTTTGAAAGGATCCATCTGCCTCAGGTCATTGGTTTATGTCACATCTCAAACACAAAAACTGAATGTAATGCAGCAAACTTCCTGTTTTATCCTTTTAAGCTGTAACCCAAAAGCAATATGGAAATGTCAGCATTGCTTTTCAATCTCAAGGTTAAGAGGCTACATTTATTAGGGAATAATACACACAGAGACTAATGCAGTTGGTAATGCTACCGATGCTAATTGTGCTAATTGCTAATAAAAGTAAAATGTCAACTTTGTAACCAAACGTTGGTTTTCTCTCACATGATGTGACGTCTCTTCTGCTTCTTCCATCAATAATGCATAACTGCTGACAGGAAATATATTTTAAATTATGTTTATATTTACCTCTTAAAAGTAAAAGTAAGCTGAAAGCGGCACTGGCAGGTCAGAGCTTTGTAAAATCAATCTCTGCATCTGTGACACCAACTGAGTCTCTTTGTTTTGAGACATTTTCATCCATACGGTCAGAATAGAAACTCCATCATTTGGTGTTTCTTTGGTTAAGCCATCTTTAGCCAGGTTCACTTCGAGCTCTTAAGGCTTGTGTTGGATCCTCTCTCTGCCCTGATAGTTTCATACTTTGGTCATCAATTTTGCTCTCAAAACCAAAAATACACTAGAGCTACTCAAACGTTCCAGCAGGATCCACGAAGCGCATTCATTTGCCTAAACTGAAATTCAGCGAGCCCTTAAAACTCTGGCTGCTGGAGTGCGGCCCGGTCCAAAAGGTGAGCAGAAAAGTGTTTTCACATTTCCCGTCTCTGCTGAGGCGCAACCCCCCCCCAAAAAACCCAGAAAGAGAAGAAACCAGTCATCTGCCGTGTCATGCTTGGCCTGAACATTTCAATTCTTGAGCTTGTTTCGCTTCGCAGAAACACGATCAGACTTGGAGCTCTGGCCCAGCCTGTGTGTTTGCTGCCCTCTGAGCGGCGGAGCAGAGAGCCGGCCCCGTCGGCCTGCGCCGGCCCCGCCGGCCGCCGCCGACTCCCTCCCCCGGCCGAACAATGCCGGCCTCTGATGAGGAATAAAAGCTGTATTGTTTCCCTCGCTGAGAGATGATGACGGTGATGAAGGGCAGACGCAATTCCAGGTTTCACAAAGAAAGTCTCAGAGCAACGCGGACCCGTCCTGGCGGCGGTAATTGCGGCGTCGCGGCTCACATGAATACCCCCAAATCAGCGCTCGGCCTCGCGCGTCCGAGCAAAGTGCACCACTCAGCCAATCAGAGGCATTAAATCTCAATCGCTCGTCCCCATGGCAACAACAACTGCTTGTCTGATTGTCGCAAAGTGGGGTCTCTGATAACTTATCGCTGAAAGGCCACGCTGTTATTGTCTGCTGTTTTCTGATAGGACGGTTAAGTGTTTTATTAATATCCGTTTTACAGCGTTAAGCAGCGTGATGGGAGAGCAGATATGTCTTCTTTTTTTATTTTTTATGAACAAACCAGAACAAGGTCACGGGGTCAGGATGATGTCGGTGGGCAGGAGAGGAATCCATGGGGATTCTGATGTGGAGAATGGAAGAAATTCTTCAGGTTTAAAAGCTGAACTCCTGTCAGTTTACCAAACCAAAACAACATTTAGTTTAATACCCTTCAACCTTTTGTCTTTATTTTGGTTTAGTTGTTTTGTTTGTATTTATTCTATTTCATGTGAATCCCTTTGAATGGTCTCGGTGAAGACACGTGGACGTTTCCCACTGTATTCAAACCCGACTGCAACGCTTTTGAAAGCGACACGTTTTTCTATTCCTGTTCAACGTTAGGTGATCAGCAGGTCAGGAGCTTTTTGTCTGAGGTATTTTTATTGTGTGCCGGGTCTGCGCTGCCACCAGGCCGGTTATTGTTTTGTTCTCACATGGCAGAAAGCCACAGACTCATATTCTGCTCTTTATTTGCTGAAAGGTTTCCCACTGGGAGTCGAGGTGCCAAAAAGGCAACAAAACACACAGATTCAGAATCAAGCCTTTTGGTCTTTCAGTTTGCTTCTCCTACTTGGAGATCCTGTTTTGTGTTGTTCACCGTTTCAGCATATAAGCAGCGAGGCGCCGTGGAAACCCTGGAGCTCAGGCTGCTACTTGCTAATGGCCGCTTTGGCTCTTCAAGCTGGCAGCCGGCTGTTGTTGCTCCACAATCCTGCGCCGCTGATTGACCACCTCCCGTCGCTCCTGAGGTGCGTGTGGGACCCTTGGCAATAATTGGCCATTGTTGTCGGCCAATCAATGCCACCTATTACTCCAGGCCTTCCTGAGGAGGCTCGTGAATAATGATGTCAAAATGACTCCTGAGTAATAGCAGCGAATAAAATGAAAAGTATCCTAAACTGATTCAAAAGCTGCACAGGCCTCGGACGCAGATCCTGTAACTCCAGACAGGCTGAGTGCGGAAACATGAATATGTGATTAATCACTGATTGTATGCAGTATGTTTTTTCCCCCTTTTTTTTCAGGATGGCTGATGTTATGAACTCCTTGGAGCCTGGGACGGAGGACTTCAGCGGAGGAGCAGCAGGAGATCAGGACTCAGTATCCTTCTTTGTGTGTTTTTCATTTTATTAGCTACAATAATAATAAAAAGTTTCATTTGATGTATCAAAGTGAAATAAATACAGTGGGTCTGATAGGTTTTCTATTCTAGATTCAGTACTTGTGTCCTCTCTGTTTGATGTAACTCCAGATTGTCTGTGGAAAATTAGGCTTTTCACCATTTTTATTTATTTTTTTGCTGACCACGTCTAAAATATTTGAAAGAATATGAGATTTGGGAAGCTGAAACTCTACCAGCCAGTGCCACTTCACACTTTAATGCTGGTGTTTGCAAAGCAGCCAATCCAGGAGGAGTATTTATTTTCCTGGGTGCTGATTGGCTGCGGCCCTATAGCAGGAATAAGGAAGACTGCAGACACCAGCTAACAAATCATCTATTTTGATTTAAGACATGCCTGAATAAGTACTATAAGTGCATCTTCCATCTTGCCTGTCTGCACAGTGGGCTCCATGTACTTGTGGTGAAAAACATGCCGTGTAAAACAGGTTATTTTTCTTCAGCAGGAACAGGAAAACCTACTAAAGCTGGAAGCATCTCTTCGCAGATCTGTGTTAAAGTGTATTCTGTCCAGTAGAGCCGGAATGAAAACGAATCAGACCATGTACAGAAGCCCCAGAAAATCTATTAGAGCCTTTAAAGAAAAGGACTTGAGACTAGGATGGAGACGAAACTTCCAGCAGGTCCACCACCCGACACATGCAGCTACAGCAGTAGCTGCAGGTTTAATTCAGATTGAAACATGTTCACACAGTCATGGTTTCTGTCGTCGAACCAATTTGTCCTCTACTTCTTTTGGTTGGGGAAGGAAGCGCTCGCTCTTAATTGCATTTGAATCTGTTTCCGCCGGTCACACGGTGGAGCTGGGTCTACTGCGGTTTCTGGTTCAGCCGCTGCCTGCACCTTGTCACACTCGATTACTCCCACCAGCGCTCCTCCACCTCACAGCCCCACGCAGGACCCGCTAGAAAAGCTTCAGAACATCGCTGGGTGACGGAGCAAATGAGGACAGGCTGTTTTTGATCCAGGCCGATATCAGTGAAAACAGGAAGTAGGTCAGAGCTTCTCTGTCTCCTATGACAGTTGTTGTATCTTTATTTGCCTGGGAGCAAAACAGGCAGTTTGAACAAGTTCAGCCAGAGTGACTGAAAACTATGGCTTCAAACAGAACTTATGAAAAGCATAAAAATCAATTTGCACCATTATATGAATTTCAATGAAAACACGGCTTTAGTGAGTTTGTACAAACGTAAAGAAAAAGTCACGTCGTTGAATGTTAGCGACTAAAATAGACAGATTTTTGCCATGTTGTTGGCCTCAAATTTGATGCTGGAATGAGGTCGTCTTAATTCCCCAAACTCTGACAAACCTGCTGGTTACCTTACATACATTTTGAACAGATCTTCCCAGAAACACACGAGAGGTTTCCGAAGCTGTCCAAGAGGCTTCCCTCCATTGTGGTGGAGCCGATGGATGCGGCCGAGGTGGAGAGCGGCGAGCTCCGCTGGCCGCCAGACGATCCCGGATCCCCAGACGCCCAAAGTGAGAGACGGAGAGCTGGCGATCAAACCGCAGGTGAGCAGGACACAGAGGCTGCTCTGGTGGCCATCTTGTATTTGACGCTCAGCTCAGCCGGCAGCCCCTCCAGGAAGGTGACCCGGCTAAACACAGCGACCACAACACTGAGGGAGGAAGTGCAGAAAGAGCACGGAGGTTATGAAAGCGACAGTTGTAAATAAAAACATAAATGGAGAGCAGCAGGAGGTAGGAGCATAAAGAAAAGTGGTCAGGTTGTTCTCCCCTATAGCAGCATAGCTACAGAGACCTGAACCACTCCACCAGCTTTATCAGAACGGCTTTAAAAGTGTTTGATGGAGCATTAAAAATACCTCCAGTAAACCTGGACACCTTTACAAATGAGCACCAAACTTTGTCTTCTTTCAGCTAATGTGGAAAACACACAATTTCATAATTGCAACATTTCCATTAAAACCATGTGGAAACGTTTGTTCATGAAAAGAAAATGCTCCGTCAAGTTCCTCCAACCACTTCCTGTTGTCTTCTTCTTCATGGTTTCCACCAGTAGTAACATGAGTTTGTCCAACTTTGATACAACTAAAGAAAAAAACAAAAAACAAAACAAGAACACCTCATGCTAGTGCAAAAACCTTTTATTGATTTTTTTTTTTTTTTTAATTTATGCATTTCCACTGAGGAAATTTATTTTCAAAACGTCAAATGTTCAACGGAAACACAGCTACTGAGAGCCAAATGTTCTGGTGGAAACATACGAAACAGTCGGCTTTCTCTTATATATGATGGAGCTTGATTCTTCCTTAAGAGTGCAAAGATGTAAAAAGAATTGTGAAAAATTTTGAGGAAGCCAATGAAAGGGAGCCTAAACCCGCCCAAGTTTTAGAAGGAGGATGTTCTGCGTCGCCTGAAACAAAATCCTCTCTGTTTGTTGCAGGTGAGGAGAAGTCGAATGCCGGAGAAAATGAAGAGACTTCAGGGGTCGAGATGCAGGAGTCAAACTGAACAAAACCGCATAAAATTCACTGTTACTCTGCAGAGCTGAACAGCAGAAAGCCTCATGAGGACAGAACCTAACAGGAAGGTGAAATATGGCAGGACGGCTGACAAGCAGATTTTTAAACGACAGCCTGCTGGGCCTGGAACTGGACAGCTGAGTCACTTTTTATTCTTATTTATGTCTTACAGATTAAAAGATTTTACTTCTGGGGAACCAATATTATGTTCATCTAGTTTCCATCACTCTGCTTAAAAGTAGGGAAACTGTAAAGTTGCTTGCTTCAAAACAAATATTTAGATATATTTTAAAAAATGCAATAACTCCAGGCAGCAATAAATACAAAGACTTTTCTTCTAATTAGACTCTGGCTATTCGTCCATATTTGTAGTTTAAATATGAATCCTCTTCCCTCTGGCTCCAAGCCGTCTTCGTCCAGATGCCCATCATCATCAGCACATCTGGCGAGGGCCGATGTCTCTAAATGCTTTATGAAGTATTTAGCTCTTGTGTGCCATATTATTACTTTGGTAGCTGCTGTATTTTGTGCGGTTTTACACTCTTTAGATAAAAAAATGACAATTGTTGTCGCGTGCTAACTGCTGTGGTGAAAACATGGTGATTTTGGTCTCACTATTGACTTCGAATGATAGCTTTGGAGATAAGTATGTCTTTTATTTGATGTTATGCCATTCTGTAATAAATTATATATGTAAAGTCTGTCTCCCCTCAGTGGTTGTTGAATGAATGCGAGTGTTGATCCGGTGGGACTAGATGGGACGTTTTTGCCCCCAAAACAACAGTTCATTTACTCAATGTAAAATAATAGTTGTTAATCTGCTTTTAAACCTCAGAGTGCAAACATTTAATATGCAGTAATATAAATCTTGCAATGACATGTATAAATATGTATTCATGTTTGTATAGACATATACAAATACACAATATATATTTGTATATATCTAGCAAGACATACAAATATATTAGTATCAATCTACAAAAAAATTTATATATTGGTATGTTTTTTTTGCTTTGTTGTTTTTTTCTAATTTTTTTTCTGTATCAGATAAGTTTGCTTTTCAATTTCCAACTTAAAGGACAAGTTTATTTGATTAAAATGGGCATTTAAAAAAAACAAAACACCATGTGAATGTAAAGAAGTTCATTTAATCTGTCAAATTTTGTCAATTTTTAAAAAAATCAGTTAATCAAGCTTTTTATCCTAAAGTGAATTATTTATTTTCCAAGGGAATCAACATTTCTGCCATAGATTTCAAAAGTAAAGTCGAGCTCGTATTTTTCATTGCTGTGCTCATCTTTCTGAATATGGATCTTTGGGCTGTTGCCCTTAAAACTGGGTTACCCTGCAGATGGAGGCGACAGGCTCCTGTCCGACAGACTCAGATGCTTAAAAGTGTCTGGGTTCCTATTTTAAAGAGCCGCTTCATGACCTTAAACAAAACAGACATTTATCATACAGAGTGACGTCATCACGAATCGCTAAAGCCTCAAAAAAAAAAAAAAATCCTGAAATATTTCAAACTCATAAAAAACAAACGGTTTGAGTGCATGACTTAAAGAAACCCTGGCTGCACGCGCAACAAAACATCTAAGATCTGCAGGCTGACTGGTGAATGATGAATGTAGATTTTCTCCATGGCCTCAAATGAATATAAAAGAAGTAATGTCACATTGTGAGAGTCATATATGCAAGTGATGGCAAAAGAGAGAGTCAGTAAATCCAGTGGAGTATTATTGAGAGCCGTCCACATTAGCATGCGCCGCTGCGGCTGCTGGCTCCATGCGTGCAGCTCTTCCTTACAGCTATGAGGCTGAGCAACAATGAAACACTGTAGCGGTAGTTCAGTGCTGGTGAAAGCTGGAGCTGTGTGTTAAAGACAGCAGAGTGTCAGTTTGCAGCGCAGCTGTTCAAAGTTATGTAATAACTGGATTGGACAAAGATGGGACTGTTGGGAGAATATCTGACAGCTGATTGGTCAGACAACCCTCCAGGTGAGGGCGTCCAAAACAACAGCCACCAAACGGTTCGTGCTTCTGAAGGATTATTTAAACGTGACTCAGCATTTCGCTCGAACTGCAAGAGTATCACGAGTCCGACGTGTCGAATTTGAAAAAAATGCTAAGAACATTTGAAGAAAATACAAAAACACACAGACGGTGAGAAAGTCCTAGTATTTTACAGTCCAGGCAGACAAGCATTGTTTGAGGTGTGTGACCTTTGAGCCCTCAGGCGGTACTGCTTAAGAAAATGCCACACGACTCTAATCAATAGCTACACAGGCTCGGGGGCGTTGGAAAATCGTTGTCACTCAGAGGAGCAGAGCCGGGAGCTGAAGCTGTTCTCAGGGGGCGAGACGTTCCAGCAGGTCTGAGTGAAACTCTGCCAGACTCATCTCAGACGGACGGGGAGACGGCGGACAGATGGCCTGTGTGCCGACCGGGCTCTGTTGGGAAAATGGTTCTGATTATTATTTGTCTCGAAGATGGGAACGTGAAATGCTAAGACATAGCATAGCATGGCGGCAGACGCTAATATGTAAAGTTTTGGAGACATCAGGAGAAGAATTTACTGGAAATGAAAAGAGACAATTATCTATTCATCTGGGATAATAGATCATTTAGTTAGTGCCTGACCTTCTGACCTCTTACAACAAGCTGCCTACTTATGTGTGACAGTTGAAAGCATCAACTCTGTTAGATTGATTAAGATTGATTAATGTTCTTTACTCTGTTTTTGTTTTTTTGCAAGTTAGACTCTTACCCTCTGGAAGTGGCGCTGAGGCTTTGTGCATCACAGATAAAGGAAAAAAACAAAACAACAACAAACAGGCTTTTCAACACATCTATACACTCAAATGAAATATGTCCAGTAATCACATCCTGGAAATGTTGGATTTTTGCACAACAGCAAATTCATTTATCAAAAATAACATGATATGCAAAAGTGTCCAGAATGGAAAGTTCATTCCTCAAAAGAGAGCCTTCAATGGAAAACTTGGCACCTTGTTTATGAACAAGACAGTCAAATGGCTTTGAGCGTTTTTAAAAGATCTACTCGTCAAGCTCACCAAATATAAGAAAATTACATATTTCTGTATTTTATTTAAGTATTTTTGATAGGGACAGACACAGACTGACATAGACAATATGCACAAAGCAGCAGTTTGCATCCTAGTGCAGTAGCATTAACTAATTCGCAGCACTTGTCTCTAGATGGGCTTTTAAAAAGTACGTTTAAAAATTGAGCTGATCAAATTTATTTAGGGAGGTAAATGAGTTCTGAACTTATTTGGTATCACATTGATTCCAAGATGGCAGCTGCAGCTCAGGGAGGAGGTGGAAGAGATCCACCTCTTCACAGATGATCTAACTCATAACAACAGACTGTCAAGACATGGTGACAGCTCAACAAATATGGAAAAAGAAAAATGTTTTTGTTTTTTTAATGAAAGTTACATACTGAACTTTTTATTCCTGCAGTAAACAGGAATTTGTGCCAGCCTGCACCTGGAGTAAACGTTTGGAGCGAACTGTTCCCCCTCAGGGTCGATCAGAGCGGGTGTGAGAAATCTGTGAAAAGACAGAAGTGGACAATCCTTTCAAATCACTTCACAACATTTGTCCAATAAAGGACATCAATTCTGTAACAACCAAACAAAAAAAAAACAACTTTCTATTGGGACTGGATCCATGCTTGTTTACCTGACATTTGTTGCTACCCAAACGTCAAAAGAAAGGGAATAAAGCTCTCCGTCTCTCCATGTGGTGCACGCATGCAGATGAACAGTCAACACAAACGTGGCTCCCACATGCTCTCTGATGGCTTGTTGAGGCTGATCCACTGCTAAAGGTCAGCGCGGTGTCTTGATCCAGACAGCGAGATGGATGGCCAAGACCTCCCGTCTTACTTCGTCCCCGCGCCCCGCTCGCTCTCGGAATCTGACCTTTTCCGATGACAACCCTGTGAAGTGCACTCCATCGGAGCGAGCGGGGTCACCGCCGGGAGAACGAAGAGCTGCGGGGAAGGAGGCAACGAGGGGGAAAGGAGAACGCAGCGTCAATTATCTCTCAAATGTCACAAGCTGTTTTTCTGAGAAAAGGACACTTGCTCTTTCCTCTCCTCTTCAGACGGACAGGTCGAGTCGCGTTTTACATATTCATAGCTTTTACGTTTGCTGGTGTGGCTACAGTTAGGAAAACGTTACTGATCAGTAGAGGCGAGATCAAATTGAACTAAGTTCAATGTTTTCCGTATGTTTTGCTGAGGTTCTGAGTGATTTTTGCTGTTTTTTTTTTTTTTTTTTACATTATTCCTCCTGTAGTCAGTTCATGACAATTTCCTAAGAAAATGTAGCAGTTGTTGATTGAATCTCAGTCTTATTAGACGGAGCTCATGCAGTCATGTATGTGAAAACAGACCCTTCAACGTCTGATGACCCGGCAACGTTCACTGTTCATAACAAGCCAGAGAAAGATTGTCCATATTTATTTCATGAATTAAATTAAATTAAATATAAAATGGGGAAAATTAATTATCTCAGAATAGATTATGAGATTTGTAAACTTCAAGAATTTGTTGCAATTTTATACATCTAAAGACAATAATAATAATAAAAACAACAACAAAAAAAGCCTGTCTGCATTCTGTGTGTATATTATTCACTTTTATGACAAGGAAAAATTAAATGTAGTTTTTAAATGATGATTTCCATTATCAAGGGGTTAAAAAAATATCCAAACAATCTGACTCATTTAAAAAGATTTTATTTTCACCTGGCTGTAAGTGGAAAAAAAGAGAGAAAAAAAACATAACTTTATGACTTACAAATTAAAAATGGATTTATGTTAACAATATCCAATTCTGTAGGAAAAGTTCAGTTTCAAAACTAGAACATCTCTAGGTGTTCTTGAAACTAAACCAATTTTTCCTCCATCGGGCATAAAGTAAAAATAAATTCACAAGGATTAATGTGCGCTAGCAAACCCAACTTCACTGAGGGCATCCTATTGGGCCCCGTGGGGTGAATTTGAAAGCTGATTGGTTAAAAGAAAACACTACCGCCGGCAACACAGAGAGTGAAATCTGATTGGACGAAACGCAGAAAACGCACATCGACATGTACGGGAGGCAACGCAGCCCAAGAGACACGACAACAAATAGAATAGACCACTGAACTGACTAATATTTAATGGAATAAATGTTATAATGTATGTAGTTAATATGTTAGGGACAGTGACAGTGTTTGGGACCGGTGAGAAGGCCCAACACTGCTGAAACCAGTCCGCCGTCTTAAGATATGAGCCTGTGAAAAAAGAGCCTGTAAATAGATAAAGTTGATTTAATTGAGGGAACATTTCCACCGTCTGTCCTCACACGGTAAAGACATCCGGGACAAGAGGTGTGCAAAGAACAAAAAGTGACGACGTTGTAATTTACCCCCTACTCTCCAGAAAACCCAGACTAATGGATCTGTCCATTTAACTTCCTTCTCAAACATCCTAACACTGTAAATTCCCACCCTGCTGAAAGCTCCACTCTCCTGCATTAGCCAGGCGTCTGACGGTTCAGTGGCAGCTTTATTTCCTGCCCACTTGTGTTTAATTAACTGACGGTAGTTTTGACTAAAGCTAAAAATAAAAAAAATAAAATAAAAACGCATTAGCTTCCACGGACGTTGTCCTGAAACGACCATCAT